CACACACACACACACACACACACACACACACACACACACACACACACACACGAGACAAGAAGACCCTTCCATCAGGCTTCTCCCTGGGGCTCACTGGCCAGCCAGAGTAGCTTACTGGGTGAACTCCCAGCCAATGAATGACCCTATCTTGTGGCTGGAGAGATGGCTCAGTGGCTTGGCTCCGATGGGCCAGGGCACTACAACCCAGCTCCCCCGGGGGCTGGGATGCACCGCAGTGAAGTGTGTCTGTCTAGCGCGTGCAAGGACCTGGGTTTGAGCACCATCCCGGCTGAAGCCTGGAGCCCGGGAGCGTGCGCGCAATCACAGCACTCGGCAAGCGAGGGCGGGAGCTTCAGGGGAGGCGGTTCTTCTCAGTTGTATAGCAATTGAGTGTGAGGCTAGCCTGGGCTACGAAAGACCCTCTCTCAAAACTGCAGGTCCACTCAACTCAACCCTTCTTTCTGCCAGCTGCGAGGATGAGGTAAAAGCCCTGTTTTCACAGCTGTAGACAGTGAGTTCAAGTAAGTTTATTAGGCTCCCCAGGTCATTCATGTGACAGACGGGCACAGTTCGCTCTGCCAAGCTCTTTGTCCTGCGCCGTCTGTAGTCGCGGACCCAGCCAAGTCTGCGCCTCAGGCTGAGTTGCCCTGGGTTCGGTCAGTCCCCTCGCCCCACTGCGGGCCCCCACCTGCCTAGACTGCCACCTTTTGACACAGTTCCTCATGTGGCGGCCCTCAAACCATGAAAAGTATTTTCGTTGCTACTTCGTAACTGTAAATTAGCTGTTATGAACCATAATGTAAATATGTGTATTTTCTGATGGTCTTAGGTGACCCCTGCGAAAGGGTCGTTTGACCCCTCCCCTCCCCCACACTCTGGTGGGTCTTTTATTTTTTATGCTTTCTTTTTATAATTTTTATTTTTTTTTATATTAATCACAGGTTATTTACTTTGTATCCCAGCCACAGCCCCCCTCCCTCATTCCCTCCCAATCCCACCCTCCCTCCCTCATCTCCTCCATGCCCCTTTCCAAGTCCACTGATAGGGGAGGTCCTCCTCCCCTTCCATCTGACCTTAGCTTATTAGGTATCTTCAGGACTGGCTGCAATGTCCTCCTCTGTGGCCTAGTAGGGCTGCTCCTCCCGGGGGGGGGGGGGTGGTGGTCATAGAGCCAGCCATTGAGTTCATGTCAGAAATATCTCTCTTAAAAAAAAATATATTTAAAAAAGATTTATCAGTGTTCTGTCTACAAGTATGTCTGTGAACCAGAAGAGGGCACCAGACCTCATTATAGATGGTTATGAGCTAACTATGTGGTTGCTGGGAATTGAACTCAGGACTCAGGACCTCTGGAAGAGCAGCCAGTGCTCTGAACCACTGAGCCATCCCTCCAGCCAGCTCCAGTGGGTCTCATGTGCTGACATCATGTGGAGTCAGGAGGGGAGGAGGAGCATGGAGTCAGGAGGAGGAGGTTCAGAAGCAGGATACTGGACCAACACATGAAGCTAACCCAGCTCCAGGCTCCCCTGCCTGGGAAGGGCGAGCAGCGTGACCCTCCCTTCATCCAGCCCGTCTGCTCTGAGATAGTGAACAGCCTGTATTCAGAACTGACACAAGCATTGGGTGTCTCAAGGCTTGTGTCCCTCCTTATCTCTGGACTTGGACCTCTTTGGGGCCTGTGTCACACACCCTCTGGGGGACTTCTCCTTATCTCTGTTTCACATAAACAAGCACAGGATATTAGATGCCAGCCCAGGGCACTACCAGAATAGACTCTCCCACAGCATTGTCAGGGCAGGATTAAGAGGTCTGCCTGGAAATTGTTGCACAGGTATCTGTGTTTGACGAAAACATTCTGTTTGTGCAGGGTTGGGAGATGGTAGATAAGATCTCCCCCAACTCCTCTCTGTGTGTGTGTGTGTGTGTGTGTGTGCATGCTCGCGCACGCGCTTGTGTGCCTGTGAGTGAGTGTAGGGTGAGTGTGAGTTTAGTTCCTCAGGCTCCATCCACCTATTTTTGGACATAGTATCTCACAGGTCTGGAGCCTGTTGATTCAGATAGGCCAGTGATCCAGTGAGCTCCAGGGATCTGCCTGTCTCCACTTTCCTAACGCTGGGGTCACAAACACAGTTTACCAAACCCAGGTTGGCTTGGTTGGTTGGTTGGTTATTTGGTTGGTTTTGGTTTTCAAGATAGGGTATCTCTGATACCCTGGCTGTCCTGGAACCCACTCTGTAGACCAGGCTGGCTTTGAACTCACAGAGATCCACCTGCCTCTGTCTCCCGAATTCTGGGATTACAGATGTGCTCCACCACTGCCCTCCTGGGGTAGATTTTTTTGTTTTCTTTAACATGTGTTTTGGGATTAAACTTGTGCTTGCAAACTGAGCTCTGTCCCCAGCTCTGTGATTAGGCTTTAGCAAGCCAGCTCTGTTGTGCTGGGTGATTGACAGATCTAGACTCTTCTCCATTCACTGAGGCCCTGAATTAAAGAGGTCCTTCCGTAAAGGGGGGGGAGGGGCTTATCATCATAAAGATCAAATTATACTCTCAGCTCCCTTATCTGTACTGTACCAGAGGACTTCAGAAAGAATTTAATGCATACATCTGTGAAAAGCACAGAGATAAGGCGGGGGCTGTCCCTGCCTTCTATGGGTGAACTCAATTACACCCAGCCAGAACAGAACAGAGTGGCCGCACACCAGTTTCCTCCCTCCTATCAGCCAGCCTCAACCCCCATCTGCTTCACAAGCACATGGAGATGTGTGGTCAGCTTGGCAGATGCGGCTGGGCTGCGGAGCAGGTGAGAGCTCCCCTGGTTCACAACAGGCCCCTCCTCACAGAAAAACAAAAGGCAGATGATCTCTAAGTTCGAGGCCAGCCTGGTCTACAGACTGAGTTCCAGGACAGCCAGGGCTACACAGAGAAACCGTGTCTCCAAAACCAAAATAGTAACAACAAAGACAGAGAAACCAAGACGAAAATGCCTGAGAACACGGGGAATCCATGACTTCTCCCTGGAATCCTCAGGTCTTACTCACATCATTTGATTCTAATGTTACAATTCACAATGTAGAGCAGGATTAAAGTCTTGGTTCTGTAAGTAGCAGCTTTTCTTTATATCTTTTATTTCCCTTCCACCTCTTTGCTTTCATTCCCCTTTTCTCTTTTAAAGACTGGGGTTCATTTGGCCCAGCCTCTCCTTAAATTCATTATGTAGGCAAGCAGGTCCTTGAACTCCTGTTCCTTTTTGCCTTTCCCACCCTGGTTCAGGGACTTCGGGAGGGAGCCACCATGCCTGACTTCTCTTTTCTTATT